ACACTTTTCGCAAGAGTCCCTAGTGTGCGCAAGCCCTTAATGCGAGTGAAAATTCCGTTTGTGAGTGTCCATCATATATAGAAGCGTCGGTAAAGTAGAGTATATAAGCTGTCTTCGGATTCTTAAGCAAGCAGTACAGTCATTGTATCAAGAAGCCCACGTAGCGGTTAAGCAGTTAAGTAAGAAAGAGAAACCGGAGCTGTTTTCCAAGTAGCCACTAGTTGACAGAGAGGAGAAAGAAGTATATGAGCCCTAGGAGCAAGTCAGAAGAGCTTAGTATTGGTGCCTAGCCTGAGCTATAGTAGCCATAGCTCTCGTTGCCAGAGTGAGATTCGATGGAAAGGTATAGATAGGATAAAAGAGTGCAGCAAGTCAGAATTATTGTATAAAGGTATGGAATGGCGCCTATAGAGAACCTGTCCTGTCCGATAAACAAGTAGTGGATTGGCGATGAGAAATAATTCATTGAAAGCCTATAAACCAGGGGTATTCGTTATCAGAGTTGTTGGCTTGAAGACCAGATTGAGATATAGATAACAGCGCTACCACGCAACATTCTCCTAAGCTTGGTGGCTTTCACACCAGAAAGAGAGTGACTTGGCCCATAGTTTAGTCTTCTCTTAAGTGGACAAGTCGTAGTTAAGTTTCATACCAAGCAAGTAGTCTCGTAGTTGAATCCCCTTCATTTGTAGTTACATCCCCTGTGCAAGTTCTCAAGTCGGAATTCCACTCAGCAGTAACAGAATCCGAATTTCACTCCGCAGTCACAATATTAAACCACTAAGAATCAGAATGAAACTAGCTTGACCTAGACTTGACTTCTATTTAAGAACTGCCTGCCCCTTTCACTAAACACATGGGTGATACTACTGGATTAATGAACTACCTTTTCTCTCTTTTATCATTGCTTAACAAATAGCTTATACTACTTGCTTAATTAAGACCTCTTGAAACTATCCCTCTCCTCTGGCTACGCCGTTCAATTACAACTTTGCTACGAGGTTCTATTTATCTATATACTAGTGTCATTCTTATACATACTAGTTTCTGTTCTTCCTTTCCTACTTTCGATAACTAGGCTCAGTGTTACCGAGAAGTTGGGTAAGTAAACAACCAGCTGACATCTGACTCTCCTTATTAGAAGTGCAAACTCTTGAACTCCTCCGATACATATAGTTTCTTATTTCCTCTTTACCTCTGACATCTAGTACCTGTACCTCTGACATCTTTCCTCTTTCACTCCTTTAATTAATAGAATAACCCATGCTAACCCCCTCAAAGCTGTTCTAGTGCATTTCTTCTTAATCACATAGACCTGCTCGCTCCTATATCAGCTCTTTCAAACAAAAACGACACTTTCATAACAGACCTCGAACTGGAACTGGGCTCTAATCTACCTCTTTCAACTGCCCAGCTAGTGACCGATTCAAATCTCCCGATGAGTTACATTAGTAACAAGTGATTCTATACCTATGGCTCCTGTACCTATGGCTTCTCACTGGAACTTGACTCTCATCCCTCTCTGGCTCTCTTACCTAGGCGGGGAACAAGACAGATGTAGTTAGTTGCTCAGTATACTTGCCTAATAGCTTGGCAGTTTCCCGTTTCATTCTTAAGTTCGAGTCGAGGTCAGGTCAGGGCATAATCTCGTGTTTCAGACCGGATATAGTGTTTCATACCGGTTGTAAGGAAACTGGGCAATTCCATCAGTGTCATCTACTATACCTTCAAGTTGTATAAGTAGAGGAGGGTAAACTAATGCACTAGATCTATTCCTTTCTACTTATACTCTATTGTACCTTATTCTTAGTCGGACTTTGACCCTATTCTTAGTTGCTATAAGACTTACTTGTCTTAGTCTGAGTAGTACCCTATTCTTATCCATATCTTACTTGTCTTATTCTATGGAAACTCCCCTTCCCGCAACAAAGCCGATACTTTCTTCTCTTCTTGACGACCCGACCTCTGTGATTAATTAGTAAGAAGTGATTCTATACCTCTGGAAACTATACCTTTCCCTTGAATCTAACGGAATTGTCCTGGGATTGCTACTCCACCTCCGGTTTTGGTGAAGATACCTCGCTTACTAGCCTTTACTTGACTCAACGCCTACCTCGCCTCTGGCTAGGGGCCAATACATAGAGAATTCCACAAGTTGCTGTCAACTACCTCCAATAGTATGGGCGGGAAGGTAAGATCTTTCTGTGCAAGGGAAGTATCCAAGAGAATCAGTTGTCACTCCATACATATTCATTCATACTGAAAGAAGTGAACTTATACTCGCTAAAGCCAAACCAAGCAAGTAAGTAAGTAAGCAGTCAGATTCCACAGAAAAGAAAGGGAATAGAGTAGTGAGTATAGACCCACAGAGCGGTAATTATTGATTCAGAGGCTCAAGGCTAAATAACCCTGTGGGGTAAGAAAGGACTCTAAATAAAGGTTAAGGTCAGTAACAACTACAATACAAGTTATTACAATTCGAAGTTCTTACAATCTTATACAGCGCTAAGTGAATCAGTAGAGATAAGTTCGGGGTCAGGGAAAGTAGTTTACAGTGAAAGTGAAGGATGCCGGATTAGGATCTAAAGCGTGATCTGTATCTTCAGCCGAAGTGAAGTATTGTTTTCGGGAGTTACGTAGGCAGTCAGGTATTCGATCTATAGGAGTCTCTTTCCGTTCTTGGTGAATCTGTCTTTGTTGTGGCGGTTAATAACTTCCGGTTTAGAAGAGGTCGCCAAAAGGAAAAGAAGAAAGAGAAAGTACTAGAGCGATGCCGAATAATTCCACTCGACAGGAATAATGGAACTGAACTTAATGGCAATACCTCCTCCTCACGGCAATACCTCCTCCTCACGGCAACACCTCTTCTTTGTATGCTACCTAAACTATATTTCCATCTTGATTCTTTCGAGCACCTGTGCCAACTCCTTTCCCTGACCACGCCTAAACATGTTTCATGAATGATCAATCAGTCAAGCCCCGAGTAGTGGCCTTATCCTTCTGGTCTGAAGCAAGGTTGCAATCATACGAGTTGGTTGCTTCGAAGGTTGCTGTAGAGAGAGATTATGAGTTGGCGTAAGGAAAGTGAAACAAACTCTACTCGTATAGAAACGAGGGAACTCCTTGACCCTTTCCTCTATCCGCTTAAGCTTGGGTATTCATGAAAAAAGAGATGAATTAGGCTTTCAAATAAGATGAAAGTAGAACAGGAGACTCATATACGCCAGCTTCCGCCCTTAACCTAACCTAAGCATGAGAAAAAAGATGAGTATTCGGCTTCCTTGAGTGTGGTTACAAATCCGTAGGTGCACTCGCATTCAACGCACTGTAGCTTATAAGAGTAAGCAGTTAGGTTACTTCATTCTATCATAGGGGAGCATAGCACTCAATTCCATTCTTTCGAACAGAGATTGCAGCCCTCAATACATACCGCACTTTTCCCTCAAACCCTTCACAAGCATAAAAGCTTTGACTTTATTACTATCCAGATTTCTTCGTACGCTTCTATATGCGATGAAACTAGAACACCACTTTCAGATTACCCGATTGCCGCTTTAGACTTAATGGACGCCCCACTCTATTGACTTTCTCCTATAGACGGTGAAGTAAGACCACATGAGGCAGGTTTCTTATCCTAGGATAGATCTCTCTCCACGACCAATGTCAAAACCAATACTATCTTTTTCTTCACCGACGGATTCTCACACTGTTGATTCTCCTGAAGGACTTAGCGCGCATTATGAAGTAGAAGATATTCTTTGCCGACCCGACCCAGAGCTACAACTACTAGATACGATGAATTAGCCTACTTGAACCCTGACTCGTATACAATACAAGGTTTGAGCTACATCGGTTACGACTTGTACCACTACAAGGAAAAGAAGCCTTATTGTCTTTGTTTCCAACTCAATTAGTAGCCACCTAAAACATAATGGGCGGTAAAGAACAGGGAGAACTCCACTAAAGTATAAGGAGCTATGCACTGAACCAACTCACTACTCGGTGTTGGCTTGAACACTTTTCTTGAGAGTGCAAGGCGAGGCGGGCTGTAAACTAACCCTTATTTGGAGTCTTTTAAGCCGTGGGTCGGATCCATTAGAGTAATCAACCTATAAAACAAAACCCCGGTTCGGCTGTTATAGTTAATTATAACCTAGAAAGAGAGACCTGTGAGAGTGGTCAATAGATTCTGTCACGCCTTACTGACATCCAATAGGGCTTTACATAAACTGGTTTGAACCCGAGACTTTCAAGTTCTATGTAGATTGGCGCTACGGTTACGAGATCTACTTGTTATCTTGGCAAAGCGCATTAAGTAAGTAGATCCTTTATACCGATCCGTGTAGTGGGCATTCGCATTCAATAAATATACGATCAAAGTAAAGCACAACTGAGTAAAGTACTAAATAAGAGTCAAGAGATGCTCCAACACCGGCTGACTCTGACTGACGCCACGAAGAGAAGAAGCACCTATCTCTCCAAGACTTCTTGCTCCGGCAAACTAAACTGTCTTGCTTGCTAAAGAATGAATTGAGGATTTCGAGTCTAGCACAGAAGCTGAAGATCTACCTGATTGATGAATGGAATCTTTCTCTTACCCCCGATTCTCTTTATTTATACTTTCTACTTTCTCTCGGTGACCTTAAGAACTCTACTTGCGTCTTCAACCAATTAACTGTTTCTTTTCCAGCGGAATAGGGAATTGATTCTGACCTTCATCCTGCATTCTTTCCCGTTGACTCGATACCTGCCTATAAGATTTCTTTGCTTTGCCCCAGGTGAGGTGCACCAAATGATCTTCTTGTGGAGTTTGTTCAGAGGTTCGGTTAGGTTACTTACTGTGCCTCTCTATCTTATACTTCTATTTCCAATTATCCTCTATCGTGGTTCAACTCTCCACTCTGTTACTTGTTCTCGTAACTCGCTAAGGAACTCCTTTATACTAAGCTAGTTGGAACGTAGCTTGTAGGAAGCAATTCTTTGTTGTTTCAAAATTCCATATTATGCAAGAGAGATCAAATGATTACTTGACTTCATTCACACTGGCCCAAACTCCAATTATCTGTCTTGCTCGTGGAAGGTATCATATCTCGTCACAAGTTGCGATTCAATTAAAGCAAGCAAACAAGCAAGAAAGGCAAAGCTGTATCGCTCGCGCATCCATTCATTCGTTCTTAAAAGAAACAAGCGAGCAACTATACAAGCAAGACGGAACAAGAAGCAACGGCAAGGCAATAAGAAGAGATTACTTAAAGCGAAGAGAGTACTTAAGGGTTCGGAAAGGAAGCAATGCTCGGTTGTTAGTAAGGAAAGGTGCTGAAAGCCAGTTTGTTTCATCTCTTATATATTCTGTTATAGCTCCCATTCTTTAATAAGTTCCGTATTCTGCTACTATTCTGGAATAATATTTATATGATATGCGATCTAGATGAATTAACTTATTAATATCATATGCGATTGATTTCAATGAAATTCCTGGCCTGGGCGCGCTGCCCTACTTGCCCTACTGCTCGACAAAGTATCAAGTTGCCTTTTTTGGGGCCCAGACTTATTGTTAATGGTTGCTTCAGCAGTAGAAAGTTGCTTCGACCCCGGTGAAGTAGCTCCCTAACGCTAATAACTCAACAAACAAAAAGCAATGGCAACATTGCGCTAACGTGAGTTTGCCGGCGAAGCAATACTGGAAGAAAATCATACCTATACATAGTATACTTACCCCAACCTAGCCTGCCAGTCTAACATTTCTTAACAAAAGAGAGAGCATTGCTAAAATGAGCATATCTTAGCTCTTAAGTGTTTGCTTTCTTTCATTTCATAATAAAGTGGATGGAATTCAATCTTACTTGAGCCAGGTAAGGGTAAGCGAAAGAAGGGGGGAGTAACACAGTGTTGGTTGTTAATATCTTATATGTTATGATAGCTATCTTCCAGCACAGGATAGGGAGGAAATAATGAGTGTTTTTACTTTTCAATAGATTCTTTCATTAGATAGAATTATCCTATTTTGGAATATAAGAGCAAAAGACAAGCATATTGTGGAATATAAGAGCAAAAGAAAAGTCATCAATCATAAGAAATAGATTCCCGCCTCGCCTGTGCTTCGTATCATAAGAATTGGCGCTTGCTTTCTTATCCAGTGCTTCGTATCTGATCGCGCTATAGGGGATTCGGTACCGCAATAATAGGTCTTTCTGTCTGCCTAACAAAAGAGAAATGGCCGTAAGTCTACTTAGTTCATTCATGCTCATAAGATTCTACAAGGGCCAAGCAACTAAGCGCCAAGCAACTACGCAAGTCCTGTATACTTGACTGGTAAGAAAGAGCTGCTGTTAAGAACTGGAACACTTGTGTATGTACTATTACCTTCTCTTAGCGTGCACAGTTGCATGCTGCCTTAGGCATATATCTCTTTCTTAGTTTGTTTCAAGCTTTCCTTATAAGTTAGTTAGTTTCTTCCTTATAAGTAATATATCTCTTTCTTAGTTTGTTTCAAGCTTTCCTTAGAAGTTAGTTAGTTTCTTCCTTATAAGTAATATATCTCTTTCTTAGTTTGTTTCAAGCTTTCCTTAGAAAGTTAGTGTTTAGTAATGAATAAATGTTGTGTATGTTTCGTCTATAAGCAATTCTTTTGTAGTAACACGGAAAGGCAGGCAACTCTTACACCCTAACTCGTGGAAAGTGAGGCCCGCTCGGGCGGCTTCTTATTGGATTCCTAGTGTCTACTTTCACTGGTCAATCAATCTTTCTTTATTTCGTCATGGCACTAAAGAATCGATAAAGTATGTTAGCATGCATCACTCATTACTATTCGGTACTAAAGGAGATGGAAAAGCCAGTATCCGCAGAGCCAGCCTATAAAGTAGAGTAGGTCCCCTGTAGCAGATGGAAATCCAATGCTAAAGTAAGTGGTGACTTCAGCTGCTAAATAGGCACATATAGTTAACAAGTAATGTACTTCGGGTGGGAGAGCATATATTCATTCGGTACTCTCAAGGTCCAATTGGCATTCAAAGAGGTTCATCGCCTCACTTCTCCAAGCGCCGGATATTAGGATATTTAGTACTCTGATTTGAGTACTCTGATTTGGATTAGGTTAGGAACCATTTGCTGTTACCTGCATTGCGAATTCTTAGGCTAGGTTCCCGTCCCCACTTTCTCCATTTTAGGGTTAGGGTCCAAGCAACTAGGCGTGGAAAGCATATCCCTTACTCGCATTCGCCTAATCGAGCAGAAGGCCACTCGGTGATCATCCTATAACTGGCTAGAGTGAGTGTCACATTACCTATAACAGGCTAGTTTGAATGCAGTAATTAAGGGCACAGGTTTCTATGGTTCTATTTAGTCCTGATTGATGAGGGTTGTCAAAGACCGGATCTTTGCACTTCGCAACCCTATCAGAGTATGTGCTTAGTGCAAGGCCTCATAGAAGTTATAGGTAATGTAGTAATACGAGCTCCGGCCCTCATCTCATACAAAATCAACAAGTTAATGGATGTTCCCAGTATTTTCTTGGACCCGATCACTTTCACCTTTGATAGATCATGGCGGTTTAGTTGGTTTGGGAAGTTTAGTTGAGACTGGGCACGTGCGTCATCAAAATGGAAAAGGTAAAGAAGAGATGGAGGCTCGAAGAGAGGAGAGCCATTTGCATCGACCGCTCCTGACGCCATGAATACCAATAACAGTACAAGTATGGATCGCCTCTATATTGTGTGGGTGTTTCTACTATTTCTTCAAGCTATGGAAAATAATGCGTATTGTATGCCATTCTCCCATCATACTTTCGTTGGAAAACCCAACGCCAAGTCAAACAATTTGTCTCCTTTCACTTTTCGGGAGCAGAGCAGTAAAAGAATAGCAATTCTCAATAATGGAAGAGTTCTTCTGGGGATGTGACATATATCAAACCAAGGAAATACAAAGTAAGCAAATAGACGCTACAATACTCATGGAAAAAATCGACTATAAGAATGACTTACTAATGGATAAAATACACTATCAAAATGATGAAGTACAAAGTGAGCAAATATACTCTCTTCCCCATTTGAAGGAAATAACAAGATTGAGTGCGGAAATGAGGATACAGGACTGCAACAGCTTAAGCCCACTTGAGCAATTTACCATTCACCCATTAATTCTGATTCGTGGGGGCAACTATTATTTCTCATTCACAAATCCATCCTTGTCTCTGCTGCTCACTCTCGGTTTGGTCCTACTTCTGCTTTTTTTGGTTACGAAAAAGGGAGGGGGAAAGTCAGTGCCAAATGCTTGGCAATCCTTGGTAGAGCTTCTTTATGATTTCGTGCTTAACCCAGTAAACGAACAAATAGGTGGTCGAAATGTGAACCAAAAGTTTTTCCCTTGCATCTCGGTCACTTTGACTTTTTCGTTATTTTGTAATCCCCAGGGTATGATACCCTATAGTTTCACAGTTACAAGTCATTTTCTCATTACTTTGACTCTATCATTTTCTCTTGTTATAGGCATTACGATCGTTGGATTTCAAAGACATGGGCTTCATTTTTTGAGCTTCTCATTACCAGCAGGAGTCCCACTACCGTTAGCACCTTTTTTAGTACTCCTTGAGCTAATCCCTCATTGTTTTCGTGCATTAAGCTCAGGAATACGTTTATTTGCTAATATGATGGCCGGTCATAGTTCAGTGAAGATTTTAAGTGGGTCTGCTTGGACTATACTATTATTGAATAATGTATTCTATTTCATAGGAGATCCTGGTCCTTTCTTTATAGTTCTTGCATTAACCGGTCCGGAATTAGGTGTAGCTATATTACAAGCTCATGTTTCTACGATCTCAATCTGTATTTACTTGAATGATGCTACAAATCTCCATCAATATTAGTTCTTTCATAATTGAATCAAAATGAGGAGCCGGGCAACTGCTATGCTTTTGCAGCTCATTTACATTACTTGGATTGGAGAGCTATCAACTATCCTTTTGGAAGCGGATAGTATACAGTGCTAATTCTCCAAAATACATAGGAAAAGCCAACTCATCATGATATTTCCACTCCATTTTCATTACGAAGATGTCTCACGTCAGGATCCGTTGCTCAAACCGAATCACGCCAACGTTATGGAAGTTCCTGGATCGTTTGAAATCAGATTAGTACCATCAGCTGCCTTCATTATTCCATTTTCTAAGTTCGCTATGGAGATGGAGTGCGGTCAGAGATTCATACAGAAACAAAGGAGCCCTTATTTCCAAGCTGGAAAGGTCAAGTCGTTTCGATCCAATACTTTCTTGGGATCTGAAAAAGACACTGCATATGTCAGTGACTTTGAACGACAAAGCGCTCTCCGAGGGCTTGGAATGTCACATTTGATGGTCAGAATCTCGATGGTAATGTCTATATTAGATTCTAAGGTCGAAATACGGGAAAACCCCATCCAATTCTCGATGGAAACAGAGTTTTTCGAATTCTCCCCGGAACTAGAAGAGCATTTCGAGATCTTCGAGCATATTAAAGGGTTCAATGTGACTATTGTGACTTCGGCCAACACAAAAGATGAGACTTTACCATTGTGGAGCGGCTTTTTGCTAAAAGATTAAGGGGAGACTAAGTCAGATGTCGGAGAAGCGAAATATACTTGATCACAAACGTAGATTGCTTGCGGCTAAATATGAATTGAGACGAAAGCTTTATAAAGCCTTTAGTAAGGATTCCGATCTTCCATATGAGATGCGGGACAAGCTTCGTTATAAGTTGTCCATGTTGCCAAGAAATAGTGCCTTTGCACGAATAAGAAACCGATGTATTTCCACGGGTCGCCCTCGTTCCGTAGTTAAGTTCTTTCGCATTTCTCGTATTGTTTTTCGTGGATTAGCATCTCGAGGTCCTTTGATGGGCATTACAAAATCCTCTTGGTAGCACAACAAAGGTTATAGCTCCGAAGCTGGTACACAAGCAAGGGTTTTAGGTACATTACCATATGGCTCCTGACCGAAAAGACCTAATAGAGTAATCCCAACTCTCGCAGCAGAGATGATAACAGCACGGGAATCGATTGGCTCTCCACCGAATCAGACATAGACTTCAAGCTGGGTAGTACTCTTGGAAAGATAGAAGATCACCCCGTGAACAACATCTAAAGTGACGAATGGCACCACCAAGACATTATTAACAATTCTTTTTCCATTGTCAGAGAACTCTTGTTCATGTTCACGCCTACGTGCTGAGCCCACCATTTAAGTCAGAGTCTGGGAGTGGGCCCCATTACTAACACAACCAAATAGGGTTCCAAATGAGAAAGACCAATATGTTATTCGTTTCGTTGGTAGAACCTACGCTCATTTTACAATATGATAGTTGATTGACTCTCTCTCGTCCAATAAAAAGCCATAATAGTATATCCGAGAGTCAAGTCACTTTCAACACTTCTGATTCTCTCCTTTCCAAAGCTCCACAAGGCAAGCAAAATACGTCAAGTAATAGGAGTCGAAATTCCATAAGTAATAGGACATGACATACTGTAGTAGCTTGGTTTGTTCATTGGTCTTTCTTTCTTTTTGAGTTCTTTCTTAGTTTAGATGGAAATCGACGTTCTTTTCCAAAGTAGTAGGGCACTTCTTAATTCAAGGCTTTTCTTTCATAGGGTTCTCTTAATGACTAGTCGTTTGAAGCCTTAATCAATCAAGTTTCCGTTTCTTTTGCTTGGCCCGTTGCCCAGTCACAGCCTCCTTCTCGCCCAAATTGGATTAATGCAGGCAGCTTTTTTCTGATTCAGGGCGCAGCGAAGCCCATTTCTATATCAAGGCAAAGAGATCAAATAAGGGGAAGAGGAGTTTTCACGAAAGAAGATAAATGACTCTAAGGAACCAACGATTCTCTATTCTTAAACAACCCATACCCTCCACACTTAACCAGCATTTTATAAATTATCCAACTCCGAGCAATATTAGTTATTGGTGGGGTTTCGGTCCGTTAGCTGGTATTTGTTTAGTGATTCAGATAGTAACTGGCGTTTTTTTAGCTATGCATTACACACCTCATGTGGATCTAGCTTTCAACAGCGTAGAACACATTATGAGAGATGTTGAAGGTGGCTGGTTGCTCCGTTATATGCATGCTAATGGGGCAAGTATGTTTCTCATTGTGGTTCACCTTCATATTTTTCGTGGTCTATATTATGCGAGTTATTGCAGTCCTAGGGAATTTGTTCGGTGTCTCGGAGTTGTCATATTCCTATTAATGATTGTGACAGCTTTTATAGGATACGTACCACCTTGGGGTCAGATGAGCTTTTGGGGAGCTACAGTAATTACAAGCTTAGCTAGCGCCATACCAGTAGTAGGAGATACAATAGTGACTTGGCTTTGGGGTGGTTTCTCCGTGGACAATGCAACCTTAAATCGTTTTTTTAGTCTCCATTATTTACTCCCCCTTATTCTAGTAGGCGCCAGTCTTCTTCATCTGGCCGCATTGCATCAATATGGATCAAATAATCCATTGGGTGTACATTCTGAGATGGATAAAATCACTTCTTACCCATATTTTTATGTAAAGGATCTAGTAGGTCGGGTAGCTTTTGCTATCTTTTCTTCCATTTGGATTTTTTATGCTCCTAATGTTTTGGGGCATCCCGATAATTATATACCTGCTAATCCGATGTCCACCCCGCCTCATATTGTGCCGGAATGGTATTTCCTACCGATCCATGCCATTCTTCGCAGTATACCCGACAAATCCGGAGGTGTAGCCGCAATAGCACCAGTTTTTATATCTCTGTTGGCTTTACCTTTTATGAAAAATATGTTTATTCGTAGTTCCAGTTTTCGCCCGATTCACCAAGGAATCTTTTGGTTGCTTTTGGCAGATCGCTTAATACTAGGTTGGATCGGATGTAAACCAGTGGAGGCACCATTTGTTACTATTGGACAAATTCCTTCCTTTTTGTTCTTCTTGTTCTTTGCCATAACGCCCATTCTGGGACGGGTTGGAAGAGGTATTCCAGATTCTTACACGGATGCAACTTGATCAAACACCTGATCAGTGCATTTTTCTTACAACCAACAGTTTGCCATTAACGAGTCCTTTGAGTATATTACACTATGAATTTACAAGCAGATGAGTTTTAGGCCTTGTTGATAGAGGCTTAGATAGGGAGAAATCAAATAGGAAATAAAAAGAACTGGGCTAGACGTAGTATAAGGCTGAAGAGCCAGGGTAAGGCGGCACCAAACAAGCAAGAGAATGAAAAGGACACTCCAAAGCCTAATAACGACAATGCAGAGTTAGGTCCAGGGGCGGAAGGTAACGACAATGCAGAGTTAGGTCCAGGGGCGGAAGGTTCAGAAGTGTCAACTAAAGACTTTAAGACAAGAGTTTCGGTTTGGGAGTTACGAGTGTTATTGAGGTCTCTCTATAGGACAGGACTACTGGGCTTAGTTGGGTCTTCCACTTATGAGCTTAGTTTGGTCTTCCACTTATGAGTTTTCTTCCTATTATCGGTTAGTTAAGTCCCAAGTTCCCGGATTAACGCTTAGGAGCAATAGTCACATTCTAATAGAGTAGAGGGCCTTGCTGGGTCGTACCTATGAGTTGAAGGAATTGGATAAGGTAGAGGCGGGCTCGGGTAATAGAGAGTAAGGCTTAGCTAAAGTAAAGACATACTATGTTGGGGAAGTATTTAGAATCAATGTCAAGAATAAGAATATAGGACTAATAGGCAGTAGCACCAGGGACAACTATAGGAATTTTTCTACTAAATAGAAGGATGGAACTGTACCAGTATGAGAATTGATTACATAACTAGAAGACTGAACCCACTGCTACAAAGCATGGAACCACTGCCTTATAATACGAGAACTCTCAAGTCAGAATCCACTACCAATGGGGCTTTCGCTGCTACTGATGAGACCAACAACACTACAAAACACTGATGATACTTAACCAGCAAGCCCAGTCTTACTTCGATTCTTCCTCTCCTGGATCTAAGCCTATCTTTACTAGCTATCAAAATAGCACTACTGATGATCTGGACCCACCAAACAAGCCTGTCGCTACTGTCTTTGATTTTGACTTGACCTGATTTCAACCTATATTAGTGCCCAGACATACTTTATCTTATAGTAAATAAGAAACTACTGAAGCAAAAGCAAGGCGGAAATGAAACCAAATATCACCGATAGAATGGGACCAACCCCACTAGTCATTTGGATTCTTCTCCAGCATTCTATCCGGTATACTTTCCCGATCTCATATCTGTATGTATTTGTATCCGGCACTACTTCTCTGCTTTCTGATTCAGTTAACTTACAATAATGATTCCTTTGTCACAATATTACTATGTGTTTTATCATAGAAGCTAATGAAGTAAGCTTGGCATGTCACGGGGGGCAATAAGGCTTTATTCTCTGCGCGATCATGAACTAAGTCATTGATTCAAGATTTGACTACTGGCGAGTAAGGAACGGCAGGTACAAGTCAAAGAGTCAAAGTCCGGATCCGAATCTTAAGTTGTAGCATGAAAAGCAGGATCAGTAGCCTGAGAAAGGTAATGTGGGCAGGCTGCGAGATAGGGTATATCGGATTGAAAGCAAAGAGATAGTTTTAGAGTAGAGGCGAACTACAGAGCACTAACAACAGTAGAAGAATCCAAGGTGAGCTAAAGAATGTAAACAGTTAGGGTGAGTTTGAGATATCGCCCCGTAGATAAAGAACTCAAGTAAGGAACGTAAGAGTGGACAAGTTAACTACTAGATTCAAGTAAGCCAGGGCGGACCAATAGATAGTATAGTATAGTTGTTGTAGTCAGAATCAAAGCTAGTAAGGGCACCTGTCCGGTGGCAACCTATGTGTTTTATACGAGCTCTAAGGCGGACATTGGTAGTAGTTCTAATTTCACTAAGAAGTAAGGGTAAGTTATCTAGGGCTAAGAGTCAGAAGTAAGGAGAAGTTATCCAAGGCTAAGAGTCAAAAGTCAAAGAAAGAAGGACTACGGAATGCAAGGAACAACTAGGGATTGAACTCAGCAGTATAAGAATGAGTAGATGTCTCAGGGAATATAACTCAGTTGTAGGAGCATAGGTAGTAGAATCCAACTTAGTAAGATACCCAGCTCCAAGTTCCACTATTAGAAGCAGTGGTTACAGTCTCTCTTTTTCTTTTTTGAGTTCTGTATTAGCATTTCTATTCCGATTAGTGGTAGCTCTAGCCTCTTTGCCCAGGTTCTACTCTAATAAGTTGTGGTTTTATTCCCACAGTTGAGCTGTGAGTTCTGGCTTCTTTCGTAGGTGATGCTTACTTTGATGCTGAACTTACTTATGACAATTCCTGTGTTCAGGAACAAATGAATATATATTAATGAGCTATGAGCTAGTACAGTTTTCTAGAGTATGGTTGACTTTCCTTGCACAGGCTATTCTTCTTTTTAGGACTTAGAGCTAGAGCACCCTAAACTATCCTTGACCTTGAAGACCCGATTGCTGCTTAAACCAAAGATTCCCCTTTACCAGAACCAGAACTCGAACTAGACTGAACTCGCCCTCAAAGAGATTATCGTTGACACCTTGCCTTACTTATATGCATAATAACAGTCATGCGGTATAACAGTCATAGGGAAGATTGCTGAATAGCCTTATACTCACACTCGAGCAGGACTACGAACTAAACTACCAGAAGTCAAGTATCCACGTTCAGAAGCAAGTGAACCATAAAGGTGTTAGGAAGAAATGAACTCTAAACTTCCCGCACTGGTAAGAATTCTGGTATCAAAGAAATGGAGTTAGATGCAACTTACTATAGGGGCCTCTATTGCCTCTGCCCTTATAATTAGCAGATGGTGTGAAAGCCTTCCACTCAGAATCTAGTATTGAAAGAGAAGTCTCCGAGGCAGGCAGGAACACTTGAATACTAATAAAGGTCTTCTACTAATAATCATAAGGGATCTACAATTGACCACCCCGGTTCCATATTGACTACCCAGGGCAGGTTCTCTCTCGGACTAAAGAATAACTACTAGCTTTGAAGCGGAAGATGTATCTAACTATAAGTAGAAAGTAAGCACTCGAACAAGACCTTCAACTTAATGCTTTTTGAACTAATTAGCAACTTTCTGTATTTCTTGATTGCATTCTTTCCTCTCCTCTTTTGCTTAGCTGGCTCCGATCAATCCTTTGACTCAATAAAGGCATCTCTATTTACTACTTTCCTCTTGAACTCCTAATAAGTAAACTCTCTCTTTCCTCTTTCACTCCGAGGCATCTCTATTTACTGCTTTCGAGGGTAGACAGGGGAATTTGCCAGCAGGTATTCTTTATTTCTTATGAATTCAATGAATGGAGTTCCACTCGCTTAAGGCTAGGCCCATAACGTTCAATTCAGAATTCTTGCCATAGTAGAGGTCGGTGCAGACTTATATAGGTTGGTGCAGACTTAGATGGAGATGAGGCTTCTATATAAGATTCAAGAGTATATGCCCTACTGGACAAGCTGACAAGGAACTACTGGAGCAATAAACCCTGTCTCTACTCCGATAACTATACTAGCTCATATGTAAATCAGGTCTTCAAGCCACCAAGCAACTACTACAAACTAGACTTCCACTTAGGCTCTGTGAACTCAGGCTCATCCACAGGGGAGTCAACAACTACTGTTATTGCTCTGGACTACTCTCCTCAAGCTACTACTACTACTACTAGAAGTCACAACTACTGATGAAACGGGACTACTACTAGTTTCAGGGTGAAAAACCCATTCTTTAGCTGTCAACTCCCTTTCCTTACTTAACTGTCACTGATAGAGACTATAAGCCAACTAGCACTTGCACTGATAGAGACTATAAGCCAACTAGCACTTGCACTGATAGAGACTCTAAGCCAACTCATTCCCTTATGGCTTCGAAGCCCGCACTTTCTTCTTCCTCGGACACCAATAACTTAAGGGAAGGGCAAAGGACTCCTCAAGGTCAGAAAGATGTAGAATGATGTTTACTTTACACAGTGGGAATCCCCATAGATGAGCCAAGACACAAGGCAAGTCACTCTACTAACGACCGCCAAGGCACGACTAATGACCCAGCAACTAGGCAAGGTCTAGAACACAACTTGGCCAAGACACGACTAATGTGTAGCGTCAGTGAATAGTTATTTGAGAGTTATGTACGAGTCCAGTTTTCATTGTCTAGTAGTTTCTTGTCTGGTTATATAATATGTTGTTTTTCATGTTGTTTTTCTCTTAGCGCCCTTACTCGACTTTCAGATACGCTTGCAGATGACCTTACTTTAGTTAACTCCCTGATTTCTGTCCCGCTGACTTCAGACGGAACCTCATATTCCTCTATGATTCAATAATAACAACCTACTACATAGAAGATACATTAAATAAGTGTGTGACGCCCTTGACACTTGACCGACACTGTTGATGTTGAGAATTGTGTCTTAACTGTAAAAGATATAGGATGAAACTCTAACTGCTTCTTTATAATAAGATGAAACTTATTGTTTTGTCCCGCCTTACCCTTCCTTTAAGTAATCACTTATTGTTCCTTTGAAACTGTCCGGATAATGCATTGACGCCTAAGAACATAGAAAAAAGACCTCCTGCTCGGCTCTTGGCTTGAGTCAGTCCACGGCAGCTACAGGGGTAAGTGGTGCAAGAGAGATTCAAAGAGAACAACGCTTTGAGAGAGATTCAAAGAGTGCGCAATCAAGATATCTGAAAACACCTTTGAAATGGAATGAAAGGTTGACCTTCTTCACTGGCCCAACAAACTAGCCCTTCCATACTGTTCCCCTACTAGATTATTGCAAGTATAAAGTGAACCCTTCCATACTGCTATCCTACTAGATTATTGCAAGTATAAAGTGAAGTTGAAAGAAAGGAAGCAAAGGAAGCAAAGCTGGTGGGAGTGCTCTTTAAAGTAGGTAGCTCGCTGGTAGGAGTGCGCCGCCCACTAAGTACTTTTGTATATAGTTCCATAAGAGAAAGAAGCGCTTGTGCTAACGCTAATGGGAGTTTCGGGACGCTAACGCTTATTGTCTCCGGATGGGGTGGCATTGTTTGGAGTGAACAAGTCACTACTTCAGTCGGTAAAGTCGAAGAGAAAGAAGAGGTTAAGGCAGCAAGATCCAATCT